GTTACTGTGGGAGAGAACAAACCAGATTTTAGCGGAGGAAGAAATCAGGAAGAAGCGCTGGAAGTGGATTGGGTACACCTTGAGGAAATCAGCTAATTGCGTCACAAGACAAGCCCTCACATGGAATCCTGAAGGTCAACGGAGAAGAGGAAGACCAAAGAACACATTACGCCGAGAAATAGAGACAGACATGAGAAGAATGAACAAGAATTGGATAGAACTAGAAAAGGAAGCCCAGGACAGAGTGGGTTGGAGAAAGCTGGTCGGCGGCCTATGCTCCATTGGGAGTAACAGGCATAAGTAAGTAATCTTTACGTTGTCTAGGACCACATATCATACTTAGCAGCTACTCCAAATTGTACGGGACCACTGTGTTGAATGACTATTTTATAAAGTTGTGGACTGGTATGATCAAGCGAATGGATGTAATCTTTCTGATTGGGCTATTCAATAATTGTGATTTGTGGGTAGAAGAGCCAATCACAGTTGGTTGTAATGGGGGACTTCACAAACTTGTTGTATTCCTTTTGATGATTGAGTTTATGTCTTCCTCGAGATTATCCTCAGTCTTTCTACTGCAATTGATGTTACCGTTAATTGTAACAATTGGCTACTTATCTTATAAAATTCTCTCACTGATTTGATCGGATAAGATGAACCGCACATGGAATTGTGGTAAGATGGATTAGCACGTATTTCTTTACAAGTTACATACTGTATGATTGATCATGCCAACAATGGATTCTGAACACTAGTTGTTTCATGAAGGTCGGGAAGAGTAACCATAACTGACCACTTAGCAGTTGAATCGATATTAATACATATCAACTTGAGATGAATAAAGCTGACAGCATTATTACAGCCATACATGCCATAAACCAAGTTTGAACCAATCGGACAAACAAACAACAATGAGTTTGACAATTACACGACACTCCTCTAAACTTACCGTGATTCGCATCCAATCAGGTTTGAACGACAGATATCTAAATTTCGACTAAATGAAACCCTAAGACAAACGTATTCCTCTCTAAACAAAACATATTCTAAAAGGACTGTAGAATCCACAACTGTTAGTGCAACCGAGTGACTAAACTACCCTAATCGGAGTATATATACTCCGGTTAGGTCTGTTATAACAGACCTGAAAGTGTTTGTTAACGCCAAAGAGCAAGTGCAGAGAAATCAACTGGTTTGCACTCCATTAATATGAAAATATATACCCGAAATTGTATACAGTCCGATCTCCCCAAATTTGGGGTTTTCCCTAGTCATATGAAAATCCTAAGAGTACTAACGTTTAACGAAGAACTTATGATATAAAGTTTGGGCACTTCACAACATCCCTTACCTAGTTCTCCTTAGTTTACACGGCGGTTAGTACTTGTGAGATCATAATTTTGTGTCAAAAACAGTAGAAGTATGTAGCATAATATCAATTGACCTTCAGGATATGTACTTAGAAATCCCAAATCCTATTGGCCAGGCTAAATAACCCGCTTTTCACCGTTCAACAGAAAAAATACAAACCAAGTTTTGGGAACTGCTTAAACCTAGAAGCTCTGAACAAAAGTATACATATTCTCTGTGCATCTAATAAACAAAATTTACGTTTCTGTGTTTGGTGCTCACTTTTAAATAAAAAGTCTTATTTATAAATGGTTATTCAAGTGTTCTGTGTGTGTTACGTTCATAATTTCTACTATAATAATAGTGCTGATTTAATATTTACACATTTTGCATGACGTGAAAAAATAATCTAAGTGATCTTAAGTGGAAGTCACATCAAAATGTAATGGAAGATATGAATGAATAATCGAATCATACCTTGCTCGAAAAGTCAATACGGAAAATCACCAGATGAAATAATTATATATTGACCGATTACGAAGTTAGTAAATAATTCGAAGAAAAAAACAAAACGTGTTCTCAATGGCTAACTGTTCAAAAAAATAGCACGAGTGATGGGTGATGCTATTCAGGCTTTCTAAAAGGATACAAGAAATAAAGTAGGCAGGCGAGGATGGCGATCCAAAGGAAAGGTGGGAATAATGTAGTTTGGATCTACTAATGAACATCTGTGCACGTCTTTATTAGTTGCTGTTTAAAGTTTATTTTGAAATTATTATTCATTATTTTCTTTTCAGTTTTCTTCGCAAGTGCTCACCAACATAACTCTACATTTCTAATTCAGCAAACGTTTTTATACTACCCTTCGTGCATAAAAGACAATTTGCTTTGTATTATGGGTTCACCAGTTGGATGATTGCCATAACAATAAACAATAGTTTGTTTGCTATTAGCACTTCAACTGTTTTGATATCACTTTGTTTACACAGAAGAGTGGCGTTTATTTTTCCTTTTGTAGAACACTGTCAACGAAAGTTCAACTTTCATGTAGTGGACACAATAAATGGCCAATCTCCATTGCAAGGTAGATGAAGACGTGTTGTTTCTTAGTCTATAGGCTGGATCATGGATCATAGTTGGGCAGAAGGTTAGGAACGAGAGTCCATTTATTGCTTTGTAGATAAATATCGGATTGTTCCTTAGCCTACAGTGCCATAAAGGTTCTAAAGAGAAGTGCTTACATCTATCTTTATAATCGAGAGTGACGTGTGTGTGAAGCGTGATCAAGTCATATAAAGTGTCTCTTAGTGACAAGGTTAATACGTTTAGTTTGGCATGTCTCTCTTATGGCAACTTGACGACTGCGTTAATCAAGTTGGTGGTAGTTCACTAAACCTTTATCAACACTTCACCATAATTTTTTAAGACGGAGACTAACTGTCTGCATGCAATGCTCAGAATTTACATGAATGATCATTGTATACAATGCCAAAAAGATCTTAACAAATACGTGTCTAAAGGCTCTAAGACTCGACTGGGGGATTCTGGAGCTCTTTACAGCTACCGCACAATAGTGTGCAATGATCTTCATGTCTGGACTGGCAATAAATTCTAGATCACTGTATGTCAGGACAACATAACAGCCCAACAAATCCTATTGTGTATACATCCGTACCTTGGAAACAAATATGCATTGTAACTGATACAGATCATTGTTATTTTTTAACTTGTCACCTAAGAGTTTTGTCACCCTCCGTAACTAGACATCTTCAATATATAACTGGATCGATGGAGACAGGAGATTAAGAGGGTAATTTGCACAAATGAGGAACACTAGTGATTACCAAACTATGTCCTGTGGCAACCTACCAAGTACAGCTTTTCACCTAGAAAAATTGTAGTTGACTTGTATTTTTTGGCACTCAACTAAAAAATCGTCTACCCAGATAACCAAGCTGCTTTCAATCTCAACATCGCTAAGCACAATCAATAGCCTATTGTGTGGAACTTTGTTAAAATTCTTGCAGAAGTCAACGAAGAATACATCTATCAGTGGGCTTAGTTAATTTAGAACACACTAACCTTCTGGAACTAATAATAAATTTGTAAGACATAAATGATCTGTGCTACTATTGAGAAAGGATCGGAATTTCATAGAAAGATAAAGTACTCCTTCTGAATACTGTTTCTATAATCTTGGTGACCACTAGAGTTAAGCTTACTAGATAAAATTTCATGAATTTACATTTCATTCTCATATTACAAAAAAGATTTGTTATGGAGTTCATTCGGTATTTTGGTAATCTACTTTGGGTTATGAATAGAATAAGACAGGTCGTTAAGGAATTCATGATTAAGTTTATCAATTTCCCTGGTCGAACCCTATGAATTTACCCGAATAATATCTATTTAACAATGAAAGTGTACCGAGTTATTTGATGGACGCAATTTCCAGTCTGAATGGAGGATTTGTATAAACCTAAAGAAAGAATGTCCCACCCTATATACATTGCTAAGGCTATCAGAGAATACCCAAGCTTTTTTGTAATTGTTTATCACTGGTATTATAGTACTGCTATCTCCACATAATGATGAAATACTGAATCTCCTCCTCATTCCTTTATTTATGTTCGAGTATGCGCATTTTGAGTATTTTAAAGACGTTTTATCAAATTCTTCGAACAATCTTGGCTCGTTTCGAGCTGCTGCATAAATATTCCAAGCTTTCAGATTTCCAGAAATCAAAAACCGAAAGTTTATTATCATTCCTACCTAGGGATGACACAAAAACGAAGTTTAAATACCACTCTTAGCAGTGTGCTTTTACTTTTTTCAAGCCCGTCTAAATACCTTGTCCATGCATCTTCAGCGGAGTGGCCCGAGAGAAAACATGATGGACTTTTTTTTGCGAAGTGAACAATTTATCAACCTGTAGTGGATGTCGAGTCGAAGACGGACTATGATCACCACTACAATTCGTTTACGCGCCCAAAAACGACTTGGTTCCTTTGATAGCTCGTAAAACAGAAGACTTTATTAATCCAGATCAATTGTATTTATTGGCGATCTCGTGGTATCGAAATAATACCGAGACGTGCCAAAGAGTACAGGCGAACAGGCAGTGCGTGAGCAAGTTCGAACCAAACAAGGCGGATTGCGGAACAAGAAGTGAAACTGATACAGTTAAACAAATACAGTAAAACAATCTCTGGTACAATTGGTTACAATAATAATAATTGTTGCCGTTATTCCAATCGTGTTCTTATCGAGACTGGCCGGTCACTACAAACCGATTGTTCGCTTAAAAACATGTGCTGTGTTGGGAGCACCTGCTCTCGTAGATTCTATGAAAGGTGACTGACTTTTCACCATAATCACTCCACGAATCTTCAACAATCGTTAGTGAAATCGGCTTATCTCTGTTATTTGGTTGTTTCTTGCTTCTTATTATAACTTATTCATCATTTTTCTCGGAAGCTGAAGAGACAAATGCTCTACATTTAGAATGAAATCTCGAAGCGCTTTTAACGAATGGAATATGAGATTACAAAAAAAGATAGATGCGTAGATCTGTGAATGAACAGTCAAATAGAATGCACATACATTTATTGAACAAAATTAGTTGACAACAATCAGAAACAATACGAAAAATTAAAATAACCTGGTGAAAAAATCTAGAAGCTCATAGCTCATGGTTCAGGAAACATAACACGACAAAATATCATCCCCTATTGTTCATTCAAAATTCGAGTTAAGCTGCGAGTTTAGTTTCACTAAAAGCCGCGCTTTTCAAAAGGATAGCAGTTGAGTTAAGTTCCAGTTTGCATCGTTTGTTGCTCATCAAGATTATTGTCATTTAACTTGAATTTACTTCAGTTTAAGTGATGTCATGGGTACTACTTTTCCTTAAACTGTTGGTCTCTTTACTTGTTGAATACAATACTTCTGTTTGCTTACTGCCTAGCTTTTTGTGTTTTTAGCCTTCCCATCTGCATGTCTTTTTCAAGTTACCTAAAGACCTATGAGTGATAATCGCTCAGTGTTGAAAAGGTTGATTGTTAACGCTTTGGTTGTCGATATCCGGTGGATAGTGGGAAACACTATGATCCATGGAAATCATGGTACCACGAAGTTTTAAGTAGTATGACACACTAGTGTGGTTGATAGGTCCTTTAACGTAGATATGTTGTTAGTTTCTGTCTGGGAAAATAGTATGTGATACCCACGAGTGTTATGCTTTTAGATCTGTCACTGGAGAACTTGGCTATTTCGTTTTTCAAGGCTAAAGGTGATTCTGACATTAATCTCAACGCACTTCAATAAATTAAACGAAATAGTGTCAATATTTTATGAGGCGCTTCACACAGACTAAATTAAAACCAAGTACTGCATTATGATAAGACAAAATGACCTCAAGACACTAGTTATACTGAGATCAGGGCATGAAGCGCATTATGATAAGATTCATTTGACCAATTCTTCTCGGTTCGGTTTTCAAGTACAGCGGCTTTTTATAGGTTTCCAAGTGCAATTAATTTCTGTTCTCCATTTAGACGATGTCGAACAAGTTGTTTTTTGGTAAAGCTCTTACCTCGTACGACGATGAGGATATTGATGAATTGTTGTCTAAGCTTACACCAGAGGAGCTGGAGCAGCTTAATGATGACTTTGATCCGGATAATTCACTGCTTCCTCCTTCACAGAGATGTCGTGACCAAACTACCAAAACCCCAACTGGACCATTTGATCGTGAAAAGTTACTGAGGTAACTATTGTCCATACTTCTTTAATAATGGTTAATGTCAGTTAAAATAAGAGCTTTCATACTATTATTCATGCGCTTTGTTTTCGAACTCAAATGCTTATTTACATGAAGATTCTTCTAACTATTTGTCGAGCGCTGCTTGACAGCGTTTCAGCTTCAATAAAAAACTACCCAGGTACTAAGTTCTTCAGTCGGCATTGTTTATTTATTTATCTGAACACATAAATATTGGTACAAGGGGGCACCAGATATATATGCGCCACACAAAATATGTCATTTCATTTAATTGTATGTGGGCTATGATACTGCTCGGGTGCCCAAACTGAAACAGGTTTTTTTCTTAGGAGGCCACATCCAAAGCCTTTAATCTAAAAGCCTAATCCACAAGGCAGTGTAGCCTCGTTAGGAGATGCAGTTCCATGGCAGCTGGTGACTGACGATTGGCTCATACACCATTTGCTCCCTCAGGATACTGGAACCCATGTGCACCATCGATTGGGAATTGGGGTTTTCCAACTCCCCTAGATGGACTTTCCGTGTCCAACAACCCGGTTGAGGCGTCAGACATTCGCTTTTCGTCCTCTCAATTTCGTAAACAACACCCCTGCTACAAGAGGGCAGTGAGTAGGACTTCCCTGGTAGAGGCTGTATACGCGTGGCCATGTGAGAGCATTTAATGAAAGAGGTTTGGCCCTCTCCACTTTCGGCTGTACGAGGGCATTTGATAGTGATTACCAACTCAAGTCAATGTTTGCGGTTCCAAATTCATTGGGGAAACATCGTTTCTTGGATATCGTTTTAGCCCCTAAATGCCCTGGTACAGTGGAAGGGGAGGAAAGTCCGCTCTCCTTGTTGAAATGATCTTACTTGTCCACGCATATACGGACACTGCCTTCTCGCTACGGGGGTGTTATTTACAAAGTTGAGAGGACGAGAAGTGAATGTCCGGCGCTTCAACCGGGTTGGTGGATTTGGTGTATCCGCCTACGTGATTTGGAAAACCCGTATTCCAAACCAATGGTGCACATGAGCTCCGGAATCCTGAGGAAACAGATGGTGTATACACCTATTTTCGGTCACCGGCTACAATGGGACTGCATCTTCTTACGTTGCTCCACTGTCTTGTGGATTAGATCTTTAAGTCAGAGGCTCTGGGTATGACCACCTAAGAAAACCACCTATCTCGGCCTGGACACCCGGGCAGTATCGTAGCCCTCACACAAATCAGTGATAGCCGCTACTGGCCTCATTGTTTTTGTGTGGTGTATATGTATTTGGCGCCCCCTCGTACCAATGTTTATGTATTTAAATAAACCAATAAATAAAATGGATGTCATTTAGACAACACGATGTATAGCTTTTACTAGTCATTTTGTTTTGAATTCTCATATATCAAGTATTTAGCTTCACTGAAAAATAGGTCTACAACCGTTTGGCTAATTCCTTTTTGTGTTTGTTGTTTAGATTTTCCCATTAATGTTTCGGGCATCAATTGATTAGTCTTATTGGCATATGTGCGTCTTGCGCTGATTGCCTTGATATCACCCCAAGTCACAAGCATTATAAGTAGAGATAGATGGTGGCTAACAGTGAAATCCAGGACACACACTTCGTCCTACTTGAGGCTCGTCGTTTGGATGTACCTGCGTCCCAGAGTCTATGTTCACTCCGGGACTGGGACCCAGTACATACGCTGATAAGACTGATCAACTGCAGTACTAAAAGTCAATGGGAAAATCCAAACAACAGAAGCTAAACTTCACTTTATTGCACAGGCTAGTGGCTATCTAGACCCAGTGGTTAAGTAGATGACGCAATGGCATTTGATGCGAATGGTATTGGGTTCAAGTCTCGTAGTGAACATCTAAATTATGAGTCCCAAAGACGAAAATCGCGTCTTGTATTATACTGCTAGTCACCATCCATCCCTACTTATGATTCTGGATGTTACGTCCTTGAATCTGTCTACCCACATAGTTCTGAGTATAATGTAGATTAAGACCTTGACACGATAGGCTGACTGGCTTAACCTTGAGGCTAATATGCGTGAGTTCGAAATAGGGGTAGAGAGACGAAAACTATTCTATCCCTGATTATTTATTAATTATTTATTTAAACACAAATATTGGTACAAAGAAGCACCAGATAAATATGCGCTTCACAAATCTCATTCGATTTGTGTGAGGGCTGTGATACTGCCCAGGTGCCCAGACTGAAGCAGGTGGTTTTCTTAGGGGGCCACACCCGGAGCCTTTGACCTGAATGTCTGATCCACAAGGCAGTGGAGCATCGTGAGGAGATGCAGTCCCATGGTAACCGTTGACCAATGACAGGTTCGTTCGCCATTCGTTCCATCAGGATACTGGAGCCCATGTGCACCATTGGTTTGGAATCGGGGTTTTCCAACTCCCCTAGGTGGACCCTCCGTGTCCATCAACCCGGTTAAAGCGCCGGACATTCGCTTTTCGTCCTCTCACTTTCGTAAACAACACCACATCCCTGATTGGCTGGCAAGCACGCGAGAGAGAGAGAAGACAAAAACAACTGGAACACTAATAACTTTATTCCAACCCCGGTCTAGCACTCGAATTCCCAATTCAGATTAGGGTGAAAAGTTACATGAATAAATAGATGACTAAGCGGACCACAACGTACAATAATTAGAAAAATACAATTATGTCCAAAACTGGGGAATTATAGTAGAAAATAGGGTACAAAGGATTACGTCTAAATGACAATAGCTTTAGAACAGAAAATGCTATGGCAATGAATTATACATCAAACGAAAGCTTATGATCTGTAGAATAGGCTAGGGGCAGAAGTAAATGTTAGTTTTACAAGCTCTGAATTAAATGAATTAACATCCCCGAAAATAGCTTCCGTAATTTGTTCAGGCTTCTTATTTTGCCGTTCACATCACTGGATTACTTATTTAGTCCTTTAGATGTCACTTACTTTAAGCACTGTAATTGAATTAACAATTTAGTGGTTTCGTTCTCGCGTTCCCACTCCAAACGTGTAAAGTAATGGAGACAAAGTGAGTACAATGTTTTCCCATATTTGAATGTCTTCTAAGATAAGATGAGCTATGAGAGTCACATTTCGCGATCAATTTTCAAAGTTATTCATATTCATGTGAACACCAAATACAGTAGATATGATCGAACTTTTTGTTTTGTATGAGCAGCAGTGTTGTTTACTAAAATTTTGATGGTTTCCAAAATTTTTGCTGTCTTCCGGAGCATAGATATCTCATTGAAAAAGCCAAAGCTGAAAAGGATTGGGAAGAAGCTGTACCTTATGAAAAAAAGAAAAGGGGAAAAGTCTATACTCCAAAACAAATCATGTCACCGAGTACGCAAAGCGAATTGGTTGAAATGGGTTTCGATGTAGAGTTTGATGATGATGTAAATAAGGTATGTACACTGGTTACTTCATGTTTTTAATTTAAAACACTGTTTAAAATAATAATTTCAGTAAAAATGTCAGTCAGTCAGCTACAAAGTAAGACTATGCACATATATGCATCAGTCCAAGTTGCCATACCTTATTTATTTATTTGAACACATAAATATTGGTACAAGGGGGCACCAGATATATATGCGCCACACAAAATATGTCATTTCATTTAATTGTATGTGGGCTATGATACTGCTCGGGTGCCCAAACTGAAACAGGTTTTTTTCTTAGGAGGCCACATCCAAAGCCTTTAATCTAAAAGCCTAATCCACAAGGCAGTGTAGCCTCGTTAGGAGATGCAGTTCCATGGCAGCTGGTGACTGACGATTGGCTCATACACCATTTGCTCCCTCAGGATACTGGAACCCATGTGCACCATCGATTGGGAATTGGGGTTTTCCAACTCCCCTAGATGGACTTTCCGTGTCCAACAACCCGGTTGAGGCGTCAGACATTCGCTTTTCGTCCTCTCAATTTCGTAAACAACACCCCTGCTACAAGAGGGCAGTGAGTAGGACTTCCCTGGTAGAGGCTGTATACGCGTGGCCATGTGAGAGCATTTAATGAAAGAGGTTTGGCCCTCTCCACTTTCGGCTGTACGAGGGCATTTGATAGTGATGGCCCATAATTCATTAGCACAACAAGATGAACAACGACTTCAGAGAACTAGTTAATTTAATGGTGGTAATATATAAAAAAAATTTATATGAAGATATAGTACAGGAAGAAGGGTATCAAGCAATTTTAATCTCACAGTTTGAGGGAAGACAGAGAGTGTATACACCGGCGCCATTGTGATCGATTCTGAGCCATGTCACCCAGAGTCTCCAACCATTGGTTACGATAGTCATGCGGACCCCAACCAGGTAGTCTGCATCTACCAACATGGCCCCCAAATGCCATGGTACGGCCGAGAGTGGGGAGAGTCTACTCTCCCTCTCGAAATGCTCTCACATGGCACGCGAATATATAGCCTCTGCCATGGAAGTCTTGCTCACTACCTTCTTGTGGCGGGGGTGTTGTTTACGAAATTTAGAGGACGAAAAGCGAATATTCGGCGCTTTAACCGAGTTGGTGGACACGGAAAGTCCACTTAGGGGATTTGGAAAACCCCGATTCCAAACCAATGGTGCACATGGGCTCCAGTATCCTGATGGAACGAATGGCGAACGAACCTATTGTTGGTCACCGGCTACCATGGGACTGCATCTCCTCACGATGCTCCACTGCCTTGTGGATCAGACATTCAGGTCAAAGGCTCCGGGTGTGGTCCCCTAAGAAAACCACCTGCTTCGGTTTGGGCACCCGGGGAGTAACACAGCCCACACACAAATGAATGAAATGATGAACTCTATTGACGATACTATTCCTGTTCATATTAGAAGCATGACAATTTACATTATTATTATTATTATTATTATTATTATTATTATTATTATTATTATTATTATTATTATTATTATTATTATTATTATTATTATTATTATTATTATTATTATTATTATTATTATTATTATTATTATTATTATTATTATTATTATTATTATTATTATTATTATTATTATTATTATTATTATTATTATTATTATTATTATTATTATTATTATTATTATTATTATTATTATTATTATTATTATTATTATTATTATTATTATTATTATTATTATTATTATTATTATTATTATTATTATTATTATTATTATTATTATTATTATTATTATTATTATTATTATTATTATTATTATTATTATTATTATTATTATTATTATTATTATTATTATTATTATTATTATTATTATTATTATTATTATTATTATTATTATTATTATTATTATTATTATTATTATTATTATTATTATTATTATTATTATTATTATTATTATTATTATTATTATTATTATTATTATTATTATTATTATTATTATTATTATTATTATTATTATTATTATTATTATTATTATTATTATTATTATTATTATTATTATTATTATTATTATTATTATTATTATTATTATTATTATTATTATTATTATTATTATTATTATTATTATTATTATTATTATTATTATTATTATTATTATTATTATTATTATTATTATTATTATTATTATTATTATTATTATTATTATTATTATTATTATTGCTTACCATATCGCTAATTCACCCCCCTTTATCCCCAATTTGTGTAACCTTACTTTTCAACTTATGCAGCAGCTCGCTCTTGGTGGAAAACCTGTCCTATCTAAACGATCTCCAGTCACTGTCTGGTTGAAAGTGAATACTTCCACCGATAATGAATACTGAGGCAGTCTTTCTGAAACCACGTACGCCGTTCAAGCTAGCTTCCTTCAACGTTCGCACACTAATGCATATCAGACAACAGATAGGGCTGGCTATGTCTTTGGAAGGTCTTAATGTTGATGTTTGTTGTCTATCCGAGACCCGTATTCAAGACTCTAGTGAAGTACTACAAATCCGCTCTCCATCTGTCGCCTCGAAAAGCTTGTTCCACGTGCGCTTATCCGGGGACCCTGTGGCATCTTCGTCTGGTCTTGCTGGTGTTGGTGTCGCACTAAGCGCTAGGGCTGAGGCAGCACTAATCGATTGGATCCCCATTAAAAGTCGGTTATGTGCTGTTAGATTAGAAAGTTCCATCAAAGTGAGAAGAAATCGGCGTGAGAATCGGTGTCTTTTCGTCATCTCTGCCTATGCCCCGACAGATTGCAGCCCGGATGCAATCAAGGATGAGTTTTACCATCAGTTAACAGTTCTTCTCCAGAAAGCGCGTTCGACAGATATTGTAGTACTAGCCGGAGACTTGAATGCACAGGTCGGGCGTCTAGGCACAGAAGAGAGTCGTCTAGGTGGCCGATGGGGACTTGTTGGTCGCCGGACAGATAACGGGGACCGTTTGCTGCAACTGTGCACAGACCACAACCTGTTTCTGGCCAGCACTAACTTCCGGCACAGTCATCGCCGGTGTGCCACCTGGCGTCCTCCCTCTGCATCCCAAGCCTGGACTCAGATTGATCACATCGCGATCAGCTACCGCTGGCGTGGTTGTGTACAAGACTGCCACTCCTTTTGGAGTACCTATCTGGAGTCTGGTCATGCCCTGGTCTGCGCCAATCTCACCTTACTTTTCAGTGGCCGAAGGATTGACTACCACCAACGGATTGATGTTAGTAAACTGGCTGCAACTTCTGTTGCAAGTAAGTATCGAGCGGAGCTAGCCTCTAGGCTAGCTACCACCCCACCGAAAAGTATAGATGTGCATTGGTTGCATCTTCACGACGCCATGAAAATGGCGAGTAAAGCCGCTTGCGGCTTCGCGAAACGTCCCGCTTAGAAGCACTGGGTCTCTTCTGGCTCCTTACAACTGATCGAAGCCCGTCGGTCTATTCCGGGTGACCGTGAGTTTGACCACAAACGAAGGCTGTTACGTAATGAAATCGGGCAAAGCTTGCGTAAGGACCGGGAAGCCTGGTGGTCGGAGCGTGCTAATGAGATGGAAGCAGCAGCTGCATCTGGTAACTGCCGGAAGCTCTTCCAACTCATCCGAGCCACTGGCAGCAAGAAGTCTGGTGTGAGTGAAACAATCTATGAGGATGACTTGATGCCAATCACTAACATCTCCCGACGTCTTGGACGATGGGCGGAATTTTTCGAAGGGCAGTTCAACTGGCCTGCTGCTCTGGCAACATCAACCAGCTTGTCCTGCCCCCCATGGCCGGTGACGACTGATCCACCAAACGAGGCGGAAGTCCGCAAGGAACTCCAACTCTTGAAACGTTATAAATCACCAACATCATGGAATGAGTCGATAGTCGTCCCTATCTTTAAAAAGGGTTCACGTTGTTCCTGCAATAACTATCGGAGGATAAGTCTACTTTCGATTGCGTCCAAACTATTGGCTTCTATCATTCTTCGTAGGTTGTTTAAAACCCGAGAACGATTGACTCGCGAGGAGCAGGCTGGTTTTCGTTCTGGTCGAGGATGCATTGATCACATCTTCACCCTCCGCCAAATGTTAAAACACCGTCATACTTATCGCAGGCCAACAATCGTAGTGTTTCTTGATATCAGGGCTGCCTTCGATTCGTTGGACAGGACTGTTCTCTGGGATTGTCTATTGAAGAAGGGTGTGCCTGAGAAGTTCATTAACATCTTAAAGGCCCTGTATACGAACACCTCAGGCGGAGTGAGGGCATACAACCACCTTTCTCCCTTGTTCTATTCGAGCAGTGGGGTTAGGCAGGGTTGCCCGATCTCACCATTCCTCTTCAACTTTGCCATCGGCGACATCCTGGAAACAGCTCTGATAGATGTAAGTAATGGCGGTGTGGATATGTTGCCTGGAGAACGACTTCTCGACCTTGAGTATGCGGATGATATTGTCTTACTGTGCGATAATGCCCAAGGCATGCAATCAGCACTTAATCAGTTGGCAATCAGTGTCCGCAGGTACGGCATGTGCTTTGCACCCTCCAAGTGCAAAGTACTCCTACAAGACTGGCAGGATTCTCATCCTGTACTCACCCTAGATGGTGAGCAGATTGAAGTAGTTGAGAAGTTCGTGTATCTAGGTAGCTATATAAGTGCTGGTGGTGGCGTGAGTGATGAGATTGATGCACGTATAATGAAAGCCAGGGCGGCTTATGCCAATCTGGGCCATCTTTGGTGCCTTCGTGATGTTAGTCGGGCTGTAAAAGGTCGGATCTACAACGCGTCGGTGTGAGCAGTTTTGCTCTATGCTTGTGAAACCTGGCCTCTCCAAGTTGAGGATGTTAGACGTCTCTCTGTGTTCGATCATCGTTGTCTCCGAAGGATTGCTGATATTCAGTGGCAACACCATGTTAGTAATGCAGAGATTCGGCATCGTGTGTTCGGGCGCAGAGACGATAATTCAATTGGTGTCACCATCTTGAAACACCGACTTCGGTGGCTTGGACATGTT